CCCCCCCACCCTGAGCCATGGTTCTGCTCCAGGTTTCTGCCTGTTAAAAGGAAGTTTTTCCTTGCCAGTGTCGCCTAGTGCTTGCTCATGGTGGGAATTGTTGGGTTTCTGTAGTTAACTTCAGAGTAGGGTCTGACCTGCTCTGTTTGGAAAGCTGTGAGACAACTGTTGTTGTGATGTGGCGCTATATAAATAAAATTGAATTGAATTGAATTAATTTTAATTTTGTAATGTCATTGTCTGAACGTGTGTTTGGACTGATTTTGTATTTTGTGATTTTGTGTTGTTTGATGTATTTGTATGTGTTTGTATGAGATTGTTCATTAATGTGCACTGCCCTGATTAAAGAAAAAAAAAAAAGAGGGGAAAGCCTCCATTTTGAGGTGAGGTTCAACCCAAAGGATTCAGTTCAGTGGAAACAAAGCTTCTCAGAGAAAAACAAAGCTGTACCGGGACGTCCTGCTTGTTGGCCAGAACGAGGAGTGGAACACCCTCCAGGGTCTCGCTGCTGATCATTTTCTCTGGGGGAGCAAAAACAAAACAAAGTCAGGGTTTATATCTAAAGGAGACTAAACCACACCAACAGAGGACTCAGATTCTTTAGTAAAGCAGTATAAAGGTCCTACAAATATTACTCCAGTCAGAGTAAAAGCAGCTCTGTAAAATTATCAATGGAGTGAAAGTACTGGAGGATTTTGAAAAATACTAGCACTCTAAGTACTATATAATATTTTTAAGTACTATACAATATTTTTAACTCCTAATGTGTGAAAGGTCTGAGTAAACCTGATGGATTCATGTCTTTTCTACTAACCCAATAATGCCAAATGTGTCATATCTGATCCGGTTTCTTTTGGATGTGAGACTTTCTGCATCATTCAGTGGTAAAAGCTTTGCTCAAACCCCTGTTGTACACATTCAGATATACCTGATAACAGCCGGTAGAAGACCACACCAACATATATTTTTGACTCATTGCACGCTAATTTGATCAAAATAATTTCATTTTCTCTGGGGGAGCCAACAGAGGACTCAGATTCTTTAGTAGAGTAGAATAAAGGTCCTACAAATATTACTCCGGTCAGAGTAAAAGCAGCTCTTTCAAATCATCAATGGAGTGAAAGTACTGGAGGATTTGCTTTGAAAAATACTAGAAAAAAAGAAAAAAAAGTAAGAAAAAAAAAAGGAGAAAAAAAAGGAAAAATGGGGAAAAAAAGGGGAAAAAAAATAAAAAATAAAAGGGAAAAAAGTACTGGAGGATTTTGAAAAATACTAATACTCAAAGTACTATATAATATTTTTAAGTACTATACAATATTTTTAACTCCTAATGTGTGACAGTATCAACATTAGATCCCCCCCCCTGCCCCAATGACATGCTTCACTGGTTTAAACAAATTGTTTAAATCAGAATATTGACTGAGTTTGATCTATTTGTTTGTAGCACACATTCCTTGTGTTTACTTTGATTTGAGCTGCTGAATAAAGAGCAAACTAAATGACAGCACCACCAACCACGCCCAGTCTACCTTCTACTCAACTATCTAAATCTAAACCTAATCATCGCCACCCTATACAGGAGAGCAGCGAGTCGTTTTACAGCACTCAGAGGGACAAAATAGACCCAAAGTACATACAAACAACAACCCATAGTATTCACAATTAGCAAAATTCTTAAGAGGAATTCAGTTGAGTAAAAAGTGTATATTTATCTTTAAAATGTAGTGTAATGAAAGTAATACGTTTTCCCAAAAAATGCTAATTAAAGTACAGTTTGTCCCAAACTTTCCTCTGTAAATTCTAACTAAATTATTGGCATTATCATTATTACTTATTTTATTTATATAT